CACGCACGCACGCACGCACGCACGTGTACGTACACACGCACGAACGTGTACTTGCACTCGCACTTACGCACGCAGGCGCGCACGTGTACGTGCACACGCACACACGCACGCAGGCGCGCACGTGTACGTGCACACGCACGTACATGCACGCACACACGCACGCATGCACGCACGTTTACGTACACACGCACGCACGCATGCATGCACGCAGGTGTACGTGCACACGCACGCACGTACGCACGCACGTCTACGTGCACATGCATGTACGCACGCACGTACGCACGCACGTCTACGTGCACATGCATGCACGCACGCACGCACGCACGTGTACCTGTACACACACGCACGTACGCACCAACGTACTCATGCACACACGTGTACCTGCACACGCACGCACGCACACACACACACACATGCACGCACGTCTACGTGCACACGCACGCACACACGCACGCATGCACGCACGTCTACGTGCACACGCACGCACACACGCACGCACGTGTACGTGCACACAAACGCACGCACGTGTACGTGCACACGAACGCACGCACGTGTACGTGCACACGCACGCACGCACGCACGCACGCACGCACGTGTAAGTTCACACGCATGTATGCACGCACGTGTACGTGCACTACATAAACAGCGCTTTCTATCAGAACATGTTGTCATCTAATCTATATTTGAGTTCGTATGTATGTATATATGTATCGTACCCTATGGACGGCCAAACCGCCCAAGGGGCCCCATGTGGGCGTCGCGAATACATTCCGCTGCGTTAGAACGCGATTTTTCATATCGTAAAGTCACTTTTGGAGGCAATTTTCTAAAAAGTTATGTGCCCGAAGAAACTTCGGCATTCATCGAAAACCCGCACAACCTTTAAGATCGCAAAATCCGCATGCGCAGTCCAAGCAGAGTACGTCAAACCCCTTGTGATGGACGTGCTCTCATCGGAAACCCGCACCAAATTTTAAGATCGCCAAATACGCATGCGCAGTCCAATCAGAGCATGTGAATCACCTGCTACCGCAACGTCCAAGGTCACGGCGTGGACGAAGACGGCTTGGAGTAAATCTCGATTTTCATGCTTTTCAACCTTCATAATTTTTTTCTAAACCTGACTTACTTGATTTCTGGTATTTCCTGTACATCCAGCATTTGTCAATAAACACATCACACAGTGTCATGTCATAAAATACTACAAAATACTGTACCCTATACCAGGGATAGAAATAGCAGTCCGTACTCCGTATCCTTAATAATTATCAACCCCTCATAGAATAAAACGATAGGACGAGGGAGCTACCGGATTTCGTAAATTCGTTTTACTTTCCTTCTCCCCTCCCAGGCGCCCGTCACTCCTACGCAGTCATAAACAGGCTCCACACACGGCATCGCTTCGCGCCATAAACATGAAACAATCGATCGCCCGTACATCAATCGGCACCGCTGCTTGCCATGACGGACGTACATCGTACGCACTAGCGGCAGGCGCGGTACACGCTGGCTATCTGTAACACCCGCTGTTGACTTCGCTGTCAGTCTACTGTCATGTACTGTTTGAGGTATAATTTCAATTTTTACATTCTTACCCCCTCCCCCAATTTTCTCAACGAATTTGACGTTTCACAAAATTGACCCATGCGACTGTCAAATCCGCCGATTTCCGCGGAAAAATTTCATCCCGGAGTCAGTATGTATGCGTGTGTGTGCGTGTGCATGCGCGTGTGCGTGTGCGTGTATGTGTGTGCGCGCCCGTGTGTGTGTAAATGTGGTATGTGTGTGCGTGGGTGCGCGTCTGATTGTGCGTGCGCATGGCCGTATGTGTGTGAATGCGATGTGTGCGTGCGTGCGCGCGTGTGTGGTGTGTGCGTGCGTGTGTGTGTGTGTGTGTGTGTGTGCCTTCTTATAGGCCACACTATATATGCCATAAACTTTTGAAATTGTGTTAAAGTATTAATGTGTTTTCTCACGGGTTTTAATGATAATATAGCTATACTAAATGTAGATTAAAGGTATAATAATAAACATTTAATTAGGTGTGGCCTTCACCTAGCATAGCAAGCCACACTAAACGCACGTACGGCACGCACGTACGCCCACCGACACGCGCACACCAAAGCCATTGCGGCTGCGGTGTATAAACAGCCAA